CAACCAAGGATACTGACTTCTCCATTCTTCACGAAACTTCCTACTTGTTGATGCTCCTTCGAACCTTCCCTGTACAGAACGGGAATCAGTGGCAATGTCAAGTTCAAGCTCCCTCCCTTTCTTCTTGCCCTCTTCATTCCCTCCTTCGCTTTCATGCTGTGACGTAGATCCTCGGGATATTCGAGTCACGAAGCGATCCATCGGAAACTTGAACTTGTTCAAAATGGCGCACTGAAATCATTTCTCCAGGGAGAATGATTAAATAAGAACGGATAAGACGCGACGCGTGAGGGAAGGAAGGAGAGAGCGCTGACTTCTCTCTCCTCTCCTGGATGAAACGCATGCGCCTCAGGAGAATCACGTGCAGCTACCTGTCCGCTCCAGGCTATCTCTCCCCCCCCTCTCTCCCAACTCCCTTTGACCTCCTCGCAGAGATGCAACCAAGCCGGAGAAGAGATGATTCTTACCACCCTTGGTGGAAGAAAAAGTAAAATAAATTAAAAGAGGGGGCATTACTGTGTACTGTATGCTCGAAGAGCCATACTCGAGAAGTATTTTGGCCAATCTTGGGGGGGCAGCGCCCCCTTGCCCCCCTGGGTTCGGCGCCTATACTAGAACACACCCTATAACTTGAACAATAGTGGTGGTGTTGAGAGGATTTCAACTCCGTTTGCATAAAAATGCTGATGTTGGTTGGGGAGAGGGGTGGTTGGCTCACAGGAGTTCAAAATGCATTAACCTTATTGGAAGAAAATTTCGTTTCACAAAAAGGCGGTCATGTAAAGGGGTGGTCTGGAAGCGGGGTAGGCCTATTTTATGATAATGAACGTTTGAGCTCGACCGGGACGTCATAATGGGCGGATTTGCCTCTTGAGGCCCTTAACCAAACCTCCCAGATAACACGTTACGTTGGGCTCACATTCGATAAAGGTGGGAAACGTTGGCAGAACGTGAATGTTGGGGAACGATGTTGGCCCCATGTGGGCCCAACGTGGGCATATCCACACGTTGAAAATAACTGCAGCACTCCTGGTGGAGAACTTCAAAACCTTGAAGTTCTTCGCCAAGCCACTAGATGTAGGTATGGGGTCTCGCTTTTCACATAGCACGCAAAAGATCCCTTCCCTCTTTCCCTGGAATCGTCCTTCGCAGTATTGTTTAGTACCTCGACATATGTCTCGCCTAGTCTCATTATAGGAATCAATAAACGCGGACATTTCATCTTTTGTTATCCACTTATTCAGACAGATTCATGGAGCTCAGGCCATAAATAAACTCATATTCCCGCTGATAATCCTTCTGAAAAACGAGAATTTTATCCGAAAAGGAGATACGAAATATGGAGGGAGTATCCGCGAACTCGATTCTGTCATTTCCTCATCTCCACAACAGGAGGAAAAGGACTGATTTTGCGGATACTTCATGGAACTGTACGAGGTGTTCCATCCTCTGACACGTACTGTAATCAGTACAGCCAGGAGAGATCCACTTCTGTACTGTCCTATGTTACCTACCTATCGAGGGCATACATACATTTCCTTGGTAGGTTGTAGTACATAGTAGAAGTTCCGTTCTACATATGGGAATGCCTCCACTGGATAGGGAATTTAAGTATATTGTACGAAATGATGATGATATAGAGCAAAAACCAGCTACTTGGGTAGGTGGGATATACGTTGCTATCCAACTTACTGCCAACGTTGGCCCAACGTATCCTGACATTGTAGGACCTCGTTGGCCCAACGTGGGCCCCACGAAAAATGTTATCTGGGCTTGTACTCACAAGTGGGTAACTTGTGATCGCAAATCAGTCAGCACACATACTCAATTCTACCTTCTAGAATGCATTCCAAATGTTTTTGCATTAAACGATTCCGCATTTTGCAACCCATTCGTCAACTCTTTACCTCTTTTTCCGCATTCCGCAAGCTTATCATTCCCCAACACTGAATTATGCAGTCCCGCAATTCTGCATTTTACCCGAATCCCCATTCGGAGTTTGGCGTGAGTGTTTCAGTGCAGACTTTTTTTTTTTATAACTTTAGCGCCCAGTAGATTCAAAGAGCGTTTGTCCTTATCATTTGTGCTGTATGGGTAAGGAATAGGATAGGCCAATGGAAGCTGTTTGGAAGTCTGGAATCGCAGTGGTTTTGGTTTGATACACGATATACATCTATGTTCAGCGTCAGGATGACTCAGCCTTAAAATACTTGGGACAAATACGCGAAAAATTACTCCCATTGTCGAAAAAAGTGCTTTTTTTTTATATTACACGAGCCTTAACGTCGTGGCACTCGCCTCTTCCAACCTTGGAATCAATCATTACTTCTCTAGTTCTCCCATACTTCTCTCACTTTAATCCCATAGAGTCTATGCAACTTTAACCACCTTACCCCATAGCCCGCTGTTATCTTTGTTGGTATCGCACTATTTTTTCTAGATCTGCACCACAAACTTCATAGACTCATATTTTGGTATGGTAACAGGAATTGCCAAACTCTCATTGAGGGGGGAAGGGGGGTTGAGGGTAAGCTATTGAAAAGAATGAGTCAACAGGATATAATTGATGAAGATTGCTTGATGCCAGGAGACTGGAAGGAAAGAAGAGAAATCAAGCCATTGCTATACAACACAGATCAAATTTGATGGAGAGGATGCTATATGAGAATAAGTAGTATGCATGTTTAACAGGAATTTTGCTAAGGATGAAGGTGGGAGGAAGGACTTGGCCTACATTCTGTTAAATAAAGAGGTTCTGGGTTCAGTTAAATTATACACTGGATTCTGAAGTAGGACATCCCTAACTTTCTTTTAGTTACATTGGGCTTAGCAAGTTAAAGAAGAAAGAATTGAAGCATTTTGTTCTATAGGACTCGAGTACCTGATAACTCTGCCTTGACCTCATCCTTCTTGAGTTCTGACCATCATTTTTTTTTATTGGTAATTTTTCCCAATTGTTACAAGAGGAAGGCAACCATTACCAGAGGTTAGCTCGTTTTTCATATAAATAATTTGTGGAGTATATTTTTTGTATTTTTATGGTATGAATCAGCTAAACCCTGTCAGTAATTCCATATCTAACCTATAATTCAAATGGCTTATGCTAGACATGTAGACAGGATAGATGTGCAGTTTCAGTTTAATCTAGACTTGGAAGTGCAGAGCAGTTAGCCCAATGAATACATCCACCAATATCTACTTATCAGGCAAGATAAATCCATCTTGAGTTGAGAAGTTCTAAGTCAAATTAAACAAACTGAAACCCATAAAATCTTAGTTGGAGTCTGTGAAGATGCAGTTGGTTGAGTGTGCTGAATAGAAGTGAGCTAGTGTGCTTGTGAATTTATTGATATGAAAACCTGGATTTAGGTGTCAAAAGAAGCTGATTTAACTCTTTAAATCCTCATTTAAATGGCCTACTACATAGCTTAGAATCTCCATTTAAAACGAGTCGGACGCATTGTTAGGACTCAATCTGTTATGGCTAAGTTCACAAGCAAGCAAATTATATGGTAAATGTGACACTCTAGGCAATTTGGATTTCAACACTTTTCTGCTGTAGTTTTTCATTATTGAGGAGTTTCTGTTTTGTATGTCATCTAAGGTTTTCCCTTGGAAACTTATATGCATCTAATCTCTTAGGAACTACACTTTAGATCATTAGAAACATTTTTGTTGTAATGTCTATCCATGGTGGGAGTAGCATAGGCAAGATTTTAGGATCTGCCACTGCATCCTCCAATGCATGCTGCAATGATGTTCTTGTTGGAATGAACTTTTGACTGGTTGATAATATTATAATAGAAATGGCAAAGAGCCTATGTTTGGGGGGTGCTTTCTATGTATGTTTGTTTGATTACTTTCATGAATTTCATATTCAGAACTACTTTTCTGATGAAGCCAAATTTCTTTCACATATTTTGATGACATTATTGTTATTGTTGCTTGAGTGCAAGACATCCTATCTTGATGCTCTATATTAATGACACTTATATTCGAGTTTGCTCTTTCTGTTTATTAATATCAGTGTCTGTCCATTTTTTGGATTAACAAGTTAGTTTAAACCTTTCCTGTTACCTGCATATGTCTAGTGGAAGCCAGCTGATTCCCACTCCTACCATTTGTTCATATCTTCTACCCTTTGGTTTATAGTTTTCCTTAGCTATCTCTCAATATCTTCCCACAGGTAAATTGCTATTCTGATGCCACCATTCCTGGTTTTTATCTCCTTTCTGTGTTATGGATAAGACATTCCTTACCTTTATCTACTCAGTGACAATCTTCCTCCTCTTCCTATCAGATGCAGATCCTTTTGTCACATTTCTCAACTTCAAAGATTTTCAAAGAACCTCATTTCTGCTTTCTGCAAAGACAAATCATGTTGTGATGCAATGGTGGTCACTGTACCCTTTGATCTTCAATTTTGCCTAAATCTCTGATCTCAAATAGTCTTTCACCTGCTGCACTTCTGACAGCACATTACCACTCCAGATGCAACATGTGCATGCCAACATATTACATAAGGGGAGGAGCACATCACACTGCAGACCATTGCAAGCACCTTAAGGGGATTGATCAAATTTCTGGACCCTTCCCCTTCATTTCAATCTTCCCTTACAGTCTTTTCAAAACTTATTCATTACTGTGGAAAGTCCTTTATAGGGTGCTTCAGTGAAGGCCTACCAAACTCTAGTATGAGGATATCTTCCACCTCTCTTATCTCCTGTGCCCTTGCATCAATATTTTTGTTTTAATGTTAACTATTGGCCTACATCACTTTTGAACCATACCCATCAGATGAAAGAAAAGTTGGCCATTTCATGGACCACTCTTTAAATTTTAATCCTTAGGCCTAGTTTTTGGATTTTGGCCTGCACTTAGTCAGGGGGTGAGATTTTGACCTTCAAGTTTCAAATTCTGATAGAAGCATTGCTTTTTCAGAGATACTGAAATCATGGGTGATCTTTTATTCTTGTAGGTATGATTGATTTATGAGGGGAATGCCATTTCCTAGTTTCATTAATGTGTTGTCTGGAGCATGGAAGAAGATTATCTCCAAGGTTTTACATTTCCTTCTTTGTCATCCATTGCGAAGGCTGCCAGAGTCTTCCTTTTGGTGCGGCTGCGAAGAAGCAGCAGCATCATACCTCAAGCATACCCTCCATAGTCTTCTCATGTTCTTTTATATTTTCATCATTCAAGTGCTGACTGTGATCATTGTGGAGGATGATATGAAACTTGATCCATTTGACGAATATGGCTCACTCTGGACAGTATTATTGTATTTCATTCGATTCACTCCATTGTTAGCCTTGCCACAGTGTTTGTTTAATTTCTTTGGTCTTACTTTGTATAATGCCTTTCCAACAAAAGTGAAGTTGACATATTCCCCACTCCAGTCTCCATTCGTGGCTATTAGGATTGTCACTCGTGGTGATTATCCTGATTTGGTGAGGCAGAATGCATTGCGTAATTTAAGAACGTGCAAGGATGTGGGCATGGAAAACTTTGTGATTGAAGTTATTACGGACAAACCTATTGGGTTACCTCTTATGCCTCATATGAAGGAGGTGGTTGTGCCTTCTTCTTATGAGTCAAGAACTGGGGCCAAATTCAAAGCAAGAGCTTTGCAATATTGCCTGGAAGATGGAGTGAACCAGTTGAAAGATGACGATTGGATTGTTCACCTGGATGAAGAAACTGTGGTCACTGCTAATGCCATGAGGGGAATTCTCAATTTCATCCATGAAGGAAGAGCTCAATTTGGGCAGGGCTTGATCACCTATGCCAATGAAGTTGTGGTGAATTGGCTAACAACTCTGGCTGATACTTTCAGAGTGGCAGATGACATGGGGAAAATAAGATTCCAGTTTCGTGCTTTTGAGAAGCCACTCTTTGGATGGAAAGGGTCCTTTGTTGTGACTCAGGTAACATCTACATATTCCATAGAAGTATTTTCAAGAGCACATGGTATTCATGTCCTCTGTTCACTCTCTATTTCTTTTAGTACATTCAATACAACCTATCCTCAACCTATTGTTAATTGTATGTTTATGTTTTCACATCCTATCATTTTAGGTGAAGGCTGAGCGTGATGTCTCCTATGACAATGGGCTGAATGGCTCAATTGCAGAAGATGCTTATTTTGGCATGAAAGCTAGTCAGCAGGGTTACAAATTTGGCTTTATTGATGGAGAACTGTGGGAGAAGTCCCCATTCACATTGTGGGATTTCCTTCAACAACGAAAGAGATGGATGCAGGGAATTTATCTTGTGGCACATTGTCCACTGGTAAGCATCAGAACTCCTATCCTCTTTGAGGTTACTCTCATATAATAAATAATATAGAAGTAGGTGAAAATTATCTTTGAGTGATGTTAAAAAAAAAATACCTAATTGACTTAAAATATTTTTACTTTTTCAAACTCATTTTGTATTACTAAGAAGTAAATTGGTGGTGTCAATTCATTTCTGAGCTTCCATCCATCAACTTTGTTTCACAAAAAATCTATTTCAAGCAGAAAATCCCTTGCATCTCTTTAATTTTTTTTATTTTTCAGGGAACAGATTATTTGGTTCACAAACCCTTTGTGTGCTGCCTATTATAGCCAATTACATTACTCTAGTTTATGTTTTATTTTTTCAAGAGCAAACTTTGACTTATTTTTATTTATTTTCGAATTTCAAGCATAACCTGTGAACAGTGCATTTATCATTTCTCACCCTGCCTACATTATGCTCCACGCTGACCTTAGTGTGCCAAAATGTGATGAGAATGTCATCATGTGTTTTTTAAGTGTCCAATACAGCAATTATGGGACACTCATGTCATTTATTGGTCAGAGTATAAATTTGCCACTTTTTCTGAAGTTATTGCTAGGTGTTGGGAACAACTGTCAATGAAGATTTGGCAACTGTTTGGGGGAAAAAATACTTGCATCATGTGGCAAAATAGACACCTTGTGCTCCAAGTCCTGATTTGACAATTGTTAGGGTTCATTTAATTTTTTTTTTACTAGCATAAAAGTGACAGATGCAAAAATAATTAAATGGAGGGGTACTTTCTTAGTTTCTCCTCCCCCCCTCCACCACCTTACCATCTTGTATACTTACATATAATCTGTTCCTGTATGATAGCAAAGTGAGATTCAAAATAGTAGCTGAATCATGTTTTGCATGTTGCAGATTTCCATCAAGACGAAGATATTCATGTGCATTTCCATATATTCATGGTTAGCAGTACCATTGATCACAGTGAGTGGTCTGCTATTTGCATACTTCCCTGTTCCCTGCCCAGTGATCATCAACTGTGCTCTTTCCTTCTGCATGGCAGTCTCCTCTTACATGTATGTTTTTGGGATCATGAAATCCATGAATCGAATGGGCATTTGCCGCCTCATTATTTTTCTTCTTCTTGTGCCTCTCATTATTACCTTCAACTGCATAATTGAAAATCTAGCTGTGATCTGGGGATATTTTGGCAACAAGTACAATTTCTACGTAGTCAAAAAGGAAGCATTAAAGTCTCTTCCTGTTGTGAGCATTTAATTTGAGCCCTCTGATTATAAAAAAATTTTGTATAAATCCCTGGAATATTCAGTTGGCTTTATGGCAACATGGGAATGGCAGCATTTTGTGTAACCCTCATCAAACCAATTTTAAATGAATCTCTTGGAATTGGTGATATTTCTGAGTCTGCTTGTAATGCTCTTCATGGTGCTTTCCTGCTGTTGAAGATTCCTGGATGCATTATTTTAATTTTTTGTGACTTTCATCATCATTAAGGATATTTCATGTTTAGGACTCTTCATTTTTGTGATGTTTCTGAATCTCTTGAGAATGATCTCTTGATTTTGGACATAGCATTTCAAATTTTCAATCCTTTTTAACCTCTTCAGACCTGATGGCAAAGTTATGTGCCAATTTTGAGATCCTTAGTCTCATTGTCTAAGCTCCACCTCCAATAGGCAAAGCAAGGGAGCCAACATTTTTTATCTTCCTTAGTATTGGAGGAATGGGGTGGTGTGTGTACAAGCCTCCAGGTTTTCATCCTTAGAGAGGGGGCAACATGCATTTCATGAAAGTAAAAGAAACTTATGGAAGCCAGCAATCAAGGATCTTATTCAACAGTTTTTCTCTGCCTTGTCACAGTCATTGAACCAACAAGAGTAACATCTTGGGCTGGGTTGTACTCAATAATGCCAAAGTACTGCGGTACCCCACACCCTCCTTTGACCCTACTCCACTCATGAGAAAGAGGTCAGTAATCCCTAAATACTGGGTCCTCCATACTGTAGTTCTCACTTTTCCAAGTACTCAGTATATGAACTGCACCACAAGAAATGGCTTCCTTTGGCTGTAATGGGGCTAGAGGCATTTTCTTCCTATTGTGTGGCTCACTTATGTCCATCAGCGTATCCAGAAATTTTTCAGGAAGAAGGGAAGGAATCCCTAGAGAGACTGGGGCAAGCAAGAGGGGGGAGGATACTGAGAGAAGCTGGAAGGGACTGCCTGCAAATATCTACTTGAAACTATCATGGGAGGGGGGGGGGAGAGACACTTTCCCCATGAGATCTATCTCAGTCCATGTCTTGGTCTTCATTCTGGTCTTCCTCTTCATTTTTGTCAGCCTGGTGCTGGGAGGACCTGAAGAAATCTTCATCCTCTGGTTGATCAATGCCATTCTCCTGAAGCTGATCAAGGAGTTCCCTGTAATTGTAGTAACTGAAACTGAAATGCAAATTTACTGACTCTATGCTTAGTGGCATGTGTACATGCCATATATGTTTTGACCCATCCTGTATGAGCTCTATGATAAGTCAGATATCCCTTTATTTATTAATAATTTCTCACACTATTTGGCAATGCAGTTCAACATTCATAATAATTTTAGGACCAATAATGAGCCATCAAAAGTAGCATTTCTGATTGCAGATGACATGGGTGGTCATATTCAAAGAAGTACTAAATTCACTAGGTGGTCATATTCAAAGAAGTACTAAATTCACTAGGTGGTCATATTCAAAGAAGTACTAAATTCACTAGGTGGTCATATTCAAAGAAGTACTAAATTCAGCCCCTGCTGCAATGCAGACTGAGTCCAATGAGTTGTGTGCATTTTTTTTTTGGGGAGCTCTCTTTAATCCTTCTGTAGCTTACAGCATGATCCATGACATAAAAGCGATTTCAGCAGGGGTTTCAATGTGTTAATGTTTGGCATGTGTACATGCCATGGGGTCTGAAGAGGTTAATGAAGGCATTTTTTGGAACCAACATTAAAAATACGTCATTGTGGGATGGTGCTTTGAAAGAAAATTTGCCCATAATGTAGGACAGGTTTGTTGCAAACTGCTGAATGTATTTGCATGTTGTGTATGATTGAAGTTAATCATTTATTGTTCTCTTCAGGAAAGGAGAAATTTTTAGGGTTGCCAATCCAATTAAATAAACCTATTAAAGTTTCAACTAAAAGTAGAAAAAGCAAACTTGAATTTGACCAGTTCCTAACTCTTCTGATTGCACACTTCCAAATTCATTGCAAAGTGAAATTTAAAGGAACATTTTGTGATTTTAATCCAATGAAGTCATGGTTTGTAGAAGGCAGTCATTGTTTACATATTCAACCATCAGTAAAAAGAAGTTGCATTGCCTTTTTGGAGAAAAATAAACATCCAAGAGAAACAGTAAAGGCTTCATGAATACGCTTACAAAGTTCATCAGTCCCCCCCTGTTATCTTTCAATTACCTCAGTTGGAGAGAAAACTACAGACTTGATTGAAATTCACCAAAATGGTCTTAATTTTTAATTTAATTTTATTGTATTAAATATTGAACAGCAGTATATTGAATAGCAGCCCTAGTGTGCTTGTCATTTTTATGATCTTGAAAACATCCTTTCCTATGCTTTGACAAGTTGGTATTACTTCCCAGAATGGATCAGTACTGCTAAAAAAAATGTGTATGCATTTCTTAACCCTTTTGTAAAAGCTTATTAATGAGGACTTGGGGTCCACTACAGACATGGGCAAATCCTATTCGTGATTCATGTGAAATGGTCATTTGTCAGTGTATTGTGAGGTATATGACTTTTCAAGACTAATCACCAAAAATTACATGCAATTTCTGAGAGGAACCAGATATGCATGTGATTGTAGTTGAATTTGAGTTTCAGCTAGGAGGTTACAAAGATTCAAACTACTTCTGATCTTTGTCCCCTTGTCCCTCTTGAAGCTAGGAACAGAGCAGTGTTGCTGGGATTAATGAATGCCCTACTATTGTTTCAGTAGCACAATAAAAGTGGGGCTTCATACCAATTGGAAGTAATTTTTTATTTTGCTCAATTTGATCCCAAATGAAAAAAAATTCAACTTCAAAAATGTTTGGTTTCCAAAAAATTTAATATTCATTCATGATTTGTCTCCAAAAATGATCAGCTAGACTGAATTTTGATTAGTGATATAAAACCTGTTGTACTCATCAAAATGATTGAGTTGCATGGATATTGAATCATAAATTCTGGCTTGCCCCTTTATGGTTCAACTGCAACTTTTTTGAAGTTACAGCTCTGCATATTAATATCTCAGCTTAATACAATATGGCAAATATCATCTGAAGTCAGGTATTATAATGATCACTTAACTTAATTGCAGATACCTTCACATTCCAGCTGTGTTGAGTTGTGGAAGAAAAGGAAGGGAGTAAATTTGATGAGCATTTTAGAATTTCAATCCAGTACTTCATCAGGTGTCTTGCAGCAGGTATTGAGTTGGTGAAGTTTTTTCAGAGCTTCCTCTGTTGATGGTAGTGCTTCCATAGTATTCATGCTTTAGTGCTAAGCATGTAGGTAGGTTAGATGCATTGTTCAGTACTTGTCAACAAAGCATAAGTCGAAGTGATAGTAAAAACTCCTATGATTTTGCCTTAGGATTTTTTGGTCATTGTTCATGAATATCACTGTCATGTGATCTGCTTCCATTGAGACTTGCTTGAAACTTCTGCTTTAGACAGAATTTCTGGCCTGTTGTTCTGTAGCCTTTCTTGTTTACATTCATCCATTATTGACCAATCCTCTGACTTGGGAGTCACCTGGATTGGATGCTCTTCCAAGTACTGATATTTTATTTCCAGTCTATGTCCCATCATTCATGTTTTTGAACATTATGTAACAAGTATGAAATGTACTGATTACAAAGTAGCTGGTAACTTAGGATAGTGCTGGGTAAATTGCTTTGATCTCTTAATGGTAATTAGAATCTCTTGATGTTGCATTACATTGTACTTCTTTATTGTTATGGCTTTAATTGCTTACATAATGTTGTCAAAAGAACTCAAAATCTTCTGGCAATATGAAATGCATTCTTTTGTTTCCAACTCAGTCTTGATGTTTGTGGTGGTGTATGTGATTGATGGAATCTCATTGATGTAAGGAAAAATAAACTAAAAAATCATGAAAACCTTTTGTTTCTTTTTGTCCAACAGACTTTGGCTTCAATGGATTGTTTTATTCCATATATATTTATGATGTAACTGACATTGGCTTTTTTATATAAACTTTTTTCTGATAAATCTTGATTTGTCTATCCTATGTATGGGGCCTTCAAATGAGCACGTGAACTGGGAAACTAGAGAAGGAAGTGGAACCAAGGGATGACTTAAGATATCTAAGCCAAAAAGAAAACATCTCCAGAGAGTCGATTTGCATCGTCTACCCGTATGCCTCACGCGGAAATACATATGAGCATTCTTTTCAATGTGTCAACGAGGCCAACTTGCGCCGGCCAGAAGTCCCTCTCACGAATGACGTATTCCCAGGAGTATTCCACTTTTCATTCCCCTGCTGCCTGGATTTTTCTCTGCCGGCGGGGTCATGTGGCCTCTTACTGCGTTTCTTTCGACTCCAGTAGATGAAACCCAGACACGGCGGCCAATACTCATGTCCCCTCGTCCTATTCACCCTTCATCCATTAATCCCTGAGTGATTCCTTTGGGCATGGGGGTTGCCTGAATGACAGGTATGACTAAGAATCACCATGGAAAGGTATGCATCCCAAAGACGCCCTAATTATATCCCCTTGGGGCAAGTAAGAAGTCCACAGATAACCAATTGGGACATCCAATGGACAACCCTCTCAGATTGAAAGAGATTTTCTCGTTGCACAAGACATCCAAAACTTGTCTCAGTCATCTTCAAGAAGCTAGTAAAAGCTCTCATTCATAACTTGGGCATTCTCTGTTGAAGAAACTTCTGGGTGAAAGGATACAAAAACGAAAAAGTCCCATACGAGAGATATACAAGGTATTTATTAAAAGATTCAGACAACTTTAGCCTTTAATAAATCACGAACAAATGAACGTACAAGCAGTTTTCAGCAACCGAAAGCTTAACATGTCAAGTTTTTTATATCGTACTTACACCACCACGTAAGCACCGTTAGTGGCTCGTAGAATATATAGACGATACTCTATTATCTCCATCCATATTCTCAACGTGATGGCGTGATTGTGGTGACTGTAGCCATTATCCGATTTTTCGGATCAGCCAAGTCTTGCACTTTTGTGGAGTACACGTTGTCCTTGACAACGTGTACTCCACGAAAGCATGAAGACGAAGACGGGAGTCTTCGTCTTCATGCTTACAAAATTCAGTTGGTCCAGAAACTGCAGCCAGACGACAGAGAAGAGACACGTTCGCGAACGATATGCTGATGGGAATGGATACCGTGCCCTGACTTCCTGAAGAGGCTGTTTTCCGAGGAGCCAGCCTTCCACATCTCGGGAAAGGTAAACAGGCATAATTAAAGGATCTGGGGTACAGAGAATCCCCATATTGTGCAAGGGACAGCCCAAAGGTGAATGTCTGGTGTGGGCTGTTCCATGACAAGGTCATAGGCCCCTTCTTTTTCGCAGAGAAGACTGTCACTGGAAGCGTTTATCTAGACATGCTGGAGAACTTTCCATATGCATCAACTGGAAGACACCCAACCCCTTCTCTTCTTGATGAATGGGTCCCTGGAAGATAGATCGGAAGGGATGGGCCAATTACGTGGCCTTCTCGATCGCCCTACATTACCCCACTGGATTTTTCCTGTGGGGTCATGTCAAGGATAACGTGTACTCCACGAAAGTGCAAGACTTGGCTGATCCGAAAAATCGGATAATGGTTACAGTCACCACAATCACGCCATCACGTTGAGAACATGGATGGAGATAATAGAGTATCGTCTAGATATTCTACGAGCCACTAACGGTGCTTACGTGGTGGTGTAAGTAAGATATAAAAAACTTGACATGTTAAGCTTTCGGTTGCTGAAAACCGCTTGTATGTACGTTCATTTGTTCGTGATTTATTAAAGGTTAAAGTTGTCTGAATCTTTTATGGACACCCTGTGCTGTATTTCGAAGGGGAAGACCCATATTTGAGTGGTTTAATTGGAATGCTTCGTGCTGTGTGTGAAAGTTTTTGATAGGTAGATAGACCCACTCAATTTTCCAAAGACCGTGTTTCGCTTCTCAGTCAAAACAGTTGGACTTAGGTGTGCCAATACTACATCATTACTTAGACTATTACTCAATAAATTGCGATGAGAGCCCAAAATTTTCACTTTCCCTAGTGTCCGTTTTTTAGATGCCCAGTATGAAAATACATACTTCCCCTTAGTATATGATTGAATAGGATGTAAATGATCGAAAAGGTCTGAGGTTCGTGGGTGTGGGCGCAGGGAAAAACATATCCTGTCAAGGTCAAGCACCT